ACAAAAAAATAAAACTGAATAAAACGTCAACAAAAATAAAAGTGAAATAAAACCAAAAATAAAACATACACATACTTTTGTTCCTAGTTTAAATTGCAGAGAAGATGGGAGGGATTTGCCCCTGGGAGGAACACTCACGCCAATTCCTGCTGGCGTGACAAACCAACCCCCCCCTGCCAACCCAACCCCCCCCAAAAACCCTCCCCCCTCTTCCGGCTGGTTGGTTGGTGTCGTAGCGAAATATAAGGGTAGTGGAAGGTCTCTAAAGTCCTGCTGGCACCGACGAGGAGGGGGCCAGGCTGTCTTTCCTTCCTTCTCTATCTGATCTTCTATCACCCCCAGGGCTGCTGTCTCAACGCCGCCCCCGCTCATCTCTCCGTCACATGGTTTTGTGAAGAAGGGGAGGGCGCAGAGGCTGGGGTGGACGGGGCCGGGGTGGGGGCGGGGTGGCGGGCCGGGGTGCAGAGGATTTCGGACAGGTCGTCCATGATACAGGTCTCCTTGGGGTCGACCAGGTTGAATTCCCTTACGAAAACGATGAAATGTGCATACAGAGTGTTCAAGTGGCCCTGCAGGTCCAGAGCCACCGTCTCTTTAAAGTGCGCCCAGTAGAGGTGAGCCAGCACGTGGAACAGGTACCGGCAGATCTTCTTTACCAAGGACTCAAAAGAGTTGGGGAACTCTTTGCCTGAAGGGTAAAAAAGGGTACAAAACAAGACAGGAGAGATTGGATTAGGCACAGGAATCACCAGTGTATTCTATAAATTTATATCAACATGTCCCATGAAAGACCATAAGCAATGCCTTAGGTTGTCTCTCAAAACTTTCTGACTTCCATACCCCGTGTGTGCCACTCAGCCCAAGCCTATTCTTTCCTACATGTAACATTTAAAAAAAAAGAAAAAAAAAAAGGTTGTTTTCTATATGTAGAAAAAATATCTTTGGCCTGTTTGGACAAAGCAAACAGTCATAAAATGTCAACTCGCTAGGGTTTTTAGAATGCAAACCAAATGATTAATGAAATAATAGAGAAAGTGACAGAAAAAATTATTTCAAGATAAAACAAGTCCTTCTATGTTTTTTCAAAGAACTGTTTATTGTTGAACCACCACTCATTTACTCGATCCCCAAATTTGAACATGAAGCAGCAGGGGGCAGCAGCACAACACCAGTGACTTCTGTAGCCCTTCACAGGCCCTGCAGGCCTGGAAACTGAGACACTCACCGTATTTTGTGGGAAAGATTTCCTCATCTGTGACCAGTTTCTGACAAAGACTCATTACAAAGTCGACATATTGTGGAGCAGTGCACTTCGTCTTCTTCCCCTCTCGTCATACCAGTAGTATATTCTAGAAAGAGACAGACAAAGAGGATCAGTGCTTGTCATTACACCCTCCACAAATCATCAAGAGCAAGGTATCATTCCACAACTGTGAGCTGGGCTTTAATTCATCATAATGAAAGTTTTCAAAGAAAGCTTGTGCTTCATTGTAGCGATAGACCGATTAACTGGTCGGCTCATTAATCGCGCATTTTTGGGTCAATGAGCATCGGCCCGATACCTGCACTCACAAGGACGATATAGAAAAAATGTCTGCAGGCAGCCTGGTCAGTGTGGCTGCTGTGGAACAATGTTAGTGCTCCCACCTGTGAGTTTTGTGGTGAAAAAGTTAGTTTGGAGCCCTAAATGTCAACATCGTCTTTTCTAAATGTGAACACGTTTCTCTCATCTAAATGTCAGCTAATCTAAAAACCATTACTGGCTAGTGTTAAATTGTTTTAGTGGTACCACTACACTTGATAAAAAAATCCAATCTAAAACAACATGTTACTGGCTAAGATAACATGCATATTAGTTTGTACTCTGCATGGAATAATCTAATTACACATGATTTGATATTGGCATTATAGATCGGCCGCCCTGCTCTCTAAATACCGGTATTTATTCAACCATTGAAAAACCCTTATCGGTTGACCAGCAGTTCATTCAAGCAGGATGAGAAACAACACATGCAGGTGGCCAATGAGACGCAATTGGCCCTTTTCCTCACCCAGCGAAAACCCATACTCCCAATGTCATCTTTCTGAACAACAAGATCAGAATGAAGACAGGGTGCACGAAACTACAAACTGTCTCCTGTGTCTCATATGGACATCCTTATCCAGATATCATGTCTATTTTCATTCCAGTGGACTTGCTGAACCCTGCGTCCAGGAGCTTTCCCGATTGAGCCAAAGTCCCTGCTGTTACAGGAGTTAACGGGACATGGACCCTCCCCCAGTCCCGGGCCAGTCCCGCTGCTGGTCAAACATTACACACGGGGGGTGACCCAGATAGCTCATTGTAGGCGGGTGGATTGGAGCCATAGTTAACAAATGTCAAACAGCAGGTCGGCAGACACCTTAGAGACAGATGAATGAGCAGCAGGAGGTTACTGGCGAGCTAACAAGGGAGGAGACGGCGAAACAGGACCGGTAAGGTAACCAAATAGACAAAAGGCGAGCTGACTGATCAGTGAGCTGGAAAAGGTCAATTAATGAGCAGATAAAACACTGAAAAGAAATGTGCATGCAGGTGTTAGTGTTAGCGGAGTGGGTCTGGGAGGCAGTGGGGCAGACATTAAAAATCCTGAGGAATGTAAATCGTTCACATAACTGACCCTGCATGAGCAAAACCTACTGACCACAGCGCCAGGACAGACTAGACTTACTCACACAGGATTCGACTGTGTGGGAGAGACACTGACTAAACTACAAACATGCCTTCTCTCGACTCCCACACACTCGCCCAGATGTGATAAAGCTAAGGCCATATACAGTATGAAACGCTACTACAGAGGGGGGTTTACTTACTGTTTATGTACACATGGGTTGGGGCTTGATAGCATTTTATTGAATGTAAATGTTTACAAATTGCTTACTTAATATTTTAAAAACAAAAAATGTTGTACCTTTAGTTTGTGTCAATTTTTCAGGCTTGTTTTGTAATGTAATAAATTGGGTTCATAGCAGTCTCATGTTTTCTCTATTCTCACGTATTGTTTTAATTTATTTATCATTTCTGATTGAATCCCCTCTCTAATCTCCCAGATATTTTTCATTTCATTTTGGAGGTTACAGGATGGGCTACTGGTGCTGTGGGTGGGGTTAGGTGGTTATGAAATGTCATCATGGTGGGAATGGTGGCACACTGTACAGGGTGGGGACAAACAACATATATGTTGCTATGGGGCGATTTGATATCTTGCTGAACAAGCACAGTGTCTATGTTTAAAGGATGTAATAAAAGCAATAAAAAGTTCATCATAAAACAACAACTATAACTTAAAGATTACATGTTGGAAAGCGAGCTAAATGACTACCTGGACGTTTTGTAGTCTTGGCTTAGGACATAAAACATTTCATAAGAGATCTGTAACAGAGCTTAACGAATCTGTGCATTTTAGCAACCAAATCCAAAATGGAACTGGCTTTAAGAACCCAACACTAATGAACAGTGTGAGCGTGTTACCACACATCTCCTTCTCGCTCTCTGCGACACACACACCCATCTATCCACCCACCCATACAAAATGGGTCTAAATAGCTAGCAAATGGTTCCGTTCCCTCATAGCCCATGGAAACTTTTTCCTTCTAAAAATAGTGCTGAGCTCTGCCTTTGGGCAGGGGCACTGACGCTGCTGTGACTGTGGCTCAGTCAGTTTTCACCACAGAGAGGGGTGCGGGTGCCAGGTCCTGCACGGGCAGGAAAGGGTGGGGTGCCGGGCAGCGGGGAAGGTACAATCATAAATGGTGGGCCTCATCTTAGAAACACAGTGTTGACAGTCAGAGTTTTAATCAAACAGAAATGCATTAAACCTTTGAGCTGAATCCGGAGTGGAGCTGTGAGACAAACTAAGAAGTCCAATCCTTTTTCCTCTTGATTAAGACATTACCTCTGTTTTCCACAGGTCAATAGACCGTGCAAACAGAAGCATGTTAATCTGCTTTCTTCACTCTTTACATACCGCAGGCGAAGCACATTAGCTTCCTCCTTTTCTCTGGGTTAGTAGCTGTAGCTTAAAGCCAGGGTAGGCAATTTATTTCAGAGGCATTTTTTGTTCTATTTGTTGAAATTCCCTTTACATGCCAACAGCGATCAATAAATGAAATGGGAAAAAAAATCTGTTGCAGGAGGATAATAATGAGCACAGCTAATGACTGGCTACCTGTGTGCACTCTGCCCGTGTACTCACTGAGAATGAATATGTGTTTTGGGGGAGTAGCTTTGGAGAGAGTCCTGAAGGGAGGGGGTAGGTGATTTTTACTTTCAAAATCAAACCATCTCTTGCTAGTTTCTTCAACGTTGCCTAACCTAGCTTTAAGGTGACAGAAGTGAAAATATTCCACTGTTGACTGTGAGGTTAACTCGTGACAAGTTTTTCTTTCATAGCAACATTTGGCATGTGTCATTTCTCAACGGCTGTGTTGTTTGTCATTCATGTCATTGTCATTTCTTTGTCCAGGGTGAGCGCGCTTGTAGGCTGCGTTTGATGTGTGACATGTAGTGATTGTTTCTCCAAGTGTGGGTAATCAGGTTTTTAGCCTTCAGTGAGAAATGAAGGCTTCTCTCCAAAGACCAAAGACAAGGGCTCACACATAAAGATGTCACCCCACCCTGACTGGGTAAACTAGTTAGATAAATATTTACACTTGCCCTGTTAGCATGGCGTGAATAAGCCTCCATGTTATGATTATCTTTTAACACTACACTAGGCAGTGTGTGGGATGTGAATATAATGTAAACCTGCCCACATTAAATATGCTGTAAAGCTGCATACTGCACAGTCCAAGATGACCAGTGTGGCTGGTTAAAAGAGTGCCACTGGGCTACGAGTCATCCCTCGCTGCCCGGGGAAACATCGCTTGATGAATTAACCAATGGGACACTAGATTTCTGATGAATAAACCAATGGGCCACGGCAGGTGAGTGATGAATAAACCAAAAGCAGGGGAGATAACTTACGTGTTGCAGGCCGTCATGGCTTGACAGGTCTCCCCAGTGCAGAACTCTGAGATGGTGCTGTACTGCAGGTTGATAAGGTTGAAGAATGTTGTCGCTGTGGCAAAGACAAGAGAGAGCAGCACGTTATTCAGTGTGTGTCGTCAGTTACGCAGGAATGAATCGTCAAGGTCATTTATTTATCACTATACAACACAAGACTGCGCAACGAAATGAAAGTTTATAGCCCCTTCATGCTACAAAAATAGAAATTAACAGATAATTATATTTATATCAGAGGACTGTAGTACTGTCAGAACATAAAAGTGGACTATTTGGGTCTCCAGTGGATGATGAGAATACACATACAGTACTGTAGAGTGTACACTGCAGTGCATTAGTGGGACAGTCACAGTCACATGCGCACACTAATCCATCAGGTCACCACATCCTTAAACAGTGTGAAATTTGAAAAATGGGAGCCGCCTACAGCTTCAGTAAGCATGAAACAGGTATTTTCTGTCACGTGGGAAACTCTTTCACAGCTTGCTTTGCTGTGAAAGCATTATGCAAATCCGGGGTCTATTGCGTGTAGAAGAGAAAACCTTTCAGTCACAAATATTTGTTTTTCTGTTAGATGTATTCAGACATGTGCCATCTTTCTGGTATGTCGACATTCCTTAAACTGTGTGCCTTTGTATGCAAATAATGAATTTACTGAAAGCCTACAACAACATATTGCAGGAGTCATCTCATTCGTTTGGAGCACTTCAAGGAAACATTCAGTGTTGAGAGTTTTTTTTAGGCCTGAGCGAAGTCAACATAATCAACCTCAACTAGCTGAAATAAATAAATTAACAAGTATAGATAGTTTGATGATTTACTTTCGGTATTACAATATTACTATTTTGTATATAAATAATATATAATGATGTGTTCATGCAGAGGGTACACTGATACAATACTTAACTTGCAGCAGAGCAGTGCAAGCCACACTTTGTTTAACCTGCAGCTTATGATGCTTAAATACGGTCCACTATAAAGTCAAGTAGGAGCAACAGCATGGTCAACCCTTTAAAACGTTTCATATAATAATTTAATGCGCTGAACCTCTCTGAGCAGCAGTGAACTGATCTGGCTCCAATTTGTGAAAACATGTCCATGATTTTCTGTCATGTTGAGCAATGAAATTACTGTCATTTGGATTTCTCCTTCCACACGGAACAAAGAAACACAAGGACACAATTTGAAAGTTGTACTGTCTCACAGGAAGCCTTCAGAACCCATCCCCTCTTTTCGTGCTCAACAAAAAAGCCGCCAAGTGCAAACATATTCAGTGTTGCACTGTTGGTTTATACAGGTGGGAAGAATTAAATGACTCCAAATCATTATTGATTTGGTTCAACAAACTATTAATCAAAATGCTGCTCAGCCCTATTGTTTGTGTTAAAACAACTACTGGTGGATACAAGTCGATGTAAGCCAGCTTATATAACCTCCACTTTCAACACATTAACATGTGAAAACATGCCCCACCTGTTTTATTGGTCTAAAACGGAAAGAAGAGCGCTTGCTTTTTTTCCTACCCTTTTCTCTCGCGAGCACCTGGCTGGTTTGGATACATAACCAAAACAAAGTCAAGGAGACAGAAAAATAAAGAGCCTGATGAGATCGATCAAGTAGCAGTGAGTTTACAGAACTCCAGAGACGCGGCTCATAATGACAACTATAAATTTCAGTGAGAGTTAAAACACTGCTCTGAAGCTGGTGTTTAAAGAAGCGGTGTGTGTGCTGTTACTGGGAACAGGCTCAGTGCTGTGCCAGGCCTGCGTCCTGTTAGCGGCTTGGCTCTGTCAGAATCACATCTCCAACACCACTGGAACATTGTGTCATCAAGACAAATGCATACCAGCTTAGAAAAACAATTCCAAACCCTTGAGGAAATTTTTACATAAGTCAGAACAAATGCTGAGCTTGACTAAAGGATTTTAATGTCATAAATGAAATAATAGGCCCCTAAAAAAAGCAACGATAACAGTGTTCCTAATTATAGTAGCAGTTTCTGTTGGACATCTTGATCAGCTTTGTGTTCATTTTCTACCACCATAGTCACTCACTGTTGCTGGCTAGCCATTCGTTGAGGTCTATCTCTCTGGGCAGCACCACCAGCTCCTTGAGGTCAAAGTCCACCACTCGGATTTTTGTGTACTCTAGCTCCAAGTACTGCTTCTTCTCTTCTGCTGGAGGCTTCTTTCCATTTGGCTTCGTCTTCGACTTCCTGCAAGGCAGAAGAAAAGAGGACAGGTTGAGGAGCTGCAAAAGACTTGAAAGGGGGCTTTAGATTAAAGATTAAATTACAAAGCAATAAATTACAAAACTGCAGTACATTTACTGCTTAATCGGACATAGTTGTGAACGGGAGGCAATATAAGCTCTATGATGGACTGCTAGCATATTCATTTTCCAGAAGGGCCGACATGATGCCACCTTAAAACGTAGCATCCAAACAGATATTCAGGTAGTGTCAGCCAAATGCTGAGCCAAAACGAATGTGGAGGACCAATCAGCACAACTTGGTTCTGCAGTAAAATTCCACTTGATGAACGGTGAAGTCAGCAGGTTATTTGTTACGCATCAAATGCGCTGCAAATGGAAAAAGCCACTTGCAGAAAAAGTTACAAAGACACATCAGCCTGAGCCCAGACCCACAGATCTATAAACTAACTGAATCTCTTTACTTGGCTTTTTCGAAACTGAATTTACGGCAGCCTAAACAGACCAAACAAAGATTCCTCTGTTCCTGACCTCTAACTCTGACCTGTGACATAATGTAGGTCTATAGCTTCCACAGAGACAGCCGTCCCCAGCGCCTTGTACTTCAACTGCTAGTTTTAGCATGGGGATGTCATATCACACTCTCTCTGCACTTCCAGGGCTGTAACCTCTCCTCCCCCAGCCCCTGCTCCCCGTCTCTATCAGTGGAGGCAGTGCAATCTGGGGTCAAAGATTAGAAGGGCCGCAGGGGTCCAGACGAACGTTTCACATTTGTGCCACTGGTGAGCAGTTTTCATTTAGGTGCACCTGGAGCTGGGCGGTACAGCCTAAAATGGTACAAAGGTAAAAATCACAGTATACTTTGAAGCACAGAGAGTAATGGTATATATTATGGTATATAGCAGGGGGTTTTCAAAGTGTGAGGAAGGCCTTTCCAGGGGTGCTCCAAACAGTTTGAGGGGGCGCTCAGTGAATGGAAGTGAATCAATATTACATTACTTTTTGCATTAGTTATCAAAAGGCGATCACATAGAATAGCCTATGTGTTAGAGTTCAGAGACACAGTAGTTTAGGGGAACTGCCCCCCCCAGAGTCAGAAACTAATAAATGCGTTATGACAGATCTTTTTAAAAACTATTTTGTGTAGTCAGAAGTTATGTCAAACAGCAATATAAGGTTATTTTGGCTCAAGTGTTGACTGTCTATGTGATCAAATAATATAATCATGATCCCATAGGCATTAAGGAATTGAGCGAAACCTACCAAGTAAACTTAAGATGTGGTGGGGGCAGCTTGTAGAACAGTGTAAATTTTAAATTTTGTAAATTTTTGTGTGGCCACCATTATTTTCCAGCACTGCCTTAAAACTCTTGGGCATGGTGTTCACCAGAGCTTCACACACATGGAGTCTCCACTCCTCCTTTACATGGTGTCATTTCTTCAGTGTTGTCAAATGAAAAAATATAATTAAATATTTACAAAGATGTGAGGGTTGTACTCACTTTTGTGAGATACTGTATATATGCTTTTCAAACTTCTTCTGAAGGGGTAAAGCACTGGTATTCATACTGGACATATTTCATATAGGACAGGAGTATTTTGAGAACATTTACTATGCAAACAAAAAAATATAAAACCTTTTGTAGTTGTCTATTGAAAATAGGCTATTATTTGAAAGAATACATGAACACATTACCTAATTTCTAGAAGGTTATTTCGTATCTCACCGTTTTAATTCTACTTAATTCTCCACCTTATTTGGATATTTTCCATCAGACGCATGCAAACACCTGTGTGTCTGACTGCTTACACCTGCCTCAGAGTCCTCGCCTCTCTCCGTTTCTCACTCCCTCTGTGTTGTAAGTCTGTTGACTTTCTTCGTCAGCAGTGTGTTTTATAAAGTCGCCCAAAAAACATGACTTGCGTTTGGGATCACCAGCGATTCCATTTTCACAACAGCAGGTGAGCCGCATGTGGAGGAGGCATGTTGGTCTTGACGTAGCTTATAAGACTACTTAGATAAGGGGGCAGGGGTGACGTAGGGTCAGGCCTGGGTATATTTTCGTTACGACAAAATAGTCCAAAGAAATGTGGGAGGCGTACAGGACGCGGTGTCACACATGTGCAGACACACAGAGGAAAGACTAATGAAAATGTTTTTTTGAACAGATTTTTGTCCACATGTGCGACCACAGTGGTTGCACCCTGGACTGATACATGAGTGAGACAAATAAGACCGAGGAGGAGTAGCCTGGCACAGTCATTACAAAATCCAGACATATGTAATGGGACTATCCAACAACCCTTCTTCATCACGTTGAAAGTCAGAGCTAACAATAGCCAACTTGATCAGTTTTCTGTTTCAGGCATTCCTCATCCTGTAATGACTATTCCTTTTCTCAACTGTTCCCTACATCTTTATTTCCCTCCTGCTTGGCTCTGCTACCGTTGTTTGGGTTTGCTTAAGGACAAGGGAGTTTCAGTTTGCTCCGAGAATTTATTGTGCTTTTGTTGACCCTCGTTTCCGCCTGTCTAGGGCTCACCCCCTCTATCTTCAGTTCTCATCCCTCCTCTCTCCACACCCTCTTTCTAAACACAGTGATCCAGCAATGTGTTCTTGGCTCTTGACTTCCCCCTTTCCTTTCCCACTCACATTCCCAGATCACCACCTCCTACCATTCCCGAAAGACAGCAGTTCTGGCTCCTGGACCAGCGAGAGCTGTTCTAACAGCACTAATGATGAGGGATCATAAACACTATTTTCCAGCAGCAGCCAAAAAAAACCCCTTCTCACTCTCTCTCCAGCTCTGCTGCGACTAACACTCGACTTTACAGAAAAGAAGCAACAGCTGGTGGGGCTTCTGCAGGAAAAGGGGCTTTCACGTTCACAGTCCACATGTAGCCAGAGATATTAGAAATATATTTAGAGAGAAAGGATTGAGAACTGGGGGAGGGAAGAGAGAAGGGGGAGTCAGAGCAGAGGGATAGAAAGGAATGAGAAGAGGAGGTAGATCGACACAGACTCAGCTGATATCCATGGGAACTAATAAACACTTACAAAACATGACAGGCCTGTGGAGCACGAGGCCTCTTGGCCAGAGCACCTTATTCAAAAGCCCTTTGCAATTCCCCTCTCCAGGAAGCGTCGTCCTGCTTTCCACCTCAGCAAACAAGGGAAGGCGTGTCAGCATGTGGATGTATAGGGAGCCTGCAGCTGTTTACTTTGTAAATGTTTAAATTTCACCATTTACATGTCCGTTGTCGTCTAATTTAGCCGTCAGGAGAAATGCTTAGCTGTAAAACTGCCTTCAGGCCTCCTGTGAAAATGTTACGATCTGAAGGGGAAACATTTGCACAGTC